AGTTGCGCTAGCGACGCGCCCAGCTCCTGCGGGCTCGAGAAGACTGAGATAAGGCCGGGGGCCGGCGCGGCCATAGCGACAGCGGCGGCAGGGAGGCGGAAGCCTTCCCGGCGGCCTCTAGTGCGCCTGCGCAAAGGCTGCTTCGGCCGCACAGCTCTCGACGCCTTCGGGCGGCCGCCTCTGACACATGCGCAGTCCCACGAGTGAAGTCCCAGCGGGGCCGGGCAGTAGGTCTGGCTGTGCTCATTGACTCTTTGCATCCTCATCGAGCTCCCTCTTGGGTTCGGACAGGTAGAGCCCGTGCAGTTGCGCTGAACCTCCGGGTATCAGGGCAGGGCCAGAGAGGGAAGCTTAGAGCTTCGATACCCGAAGTAGGGGACGTGGGGTGTGGTGAGGTGGAGGTAGGAGATTGGAGGTTTCCTGGAGGAGGGCGCATTTTGATGGACTTTGAAATTCCTGAACCTTCTAAGTATAAGCTTGATGAGGGCAAGGATATTTGTTCTATTCACTGAGTCCTCGAAAGCCCCCTGACTTATGGCAGAGTGTAGGGGCTGAAAATGTGCTTGTTGAATTTCTTCTGCACATTCTCCTTGGAAACCTATATCTCTATGAGGACCTATTGCGTCCTCTACCCTGGCTCTTGCCTGGGGAAGTTCCCAGACTGAGGCAAGTGATCCTTGGCTGATATGACAGAACATTCAGGGAATAGCATGGGCAGGGAGAGCTGGAAAGGGGAGGAGGCCTGGTGAGCCTGGGCAACTGGACCACATCTCAGAACCAGAGTTTAGCAGAGTGTACTAAGTGCAATGGGATTTGCACAGGTAGTGCATCTTTAAAACCAGTAGCCAATAAAGAAAACAGTTTCATTTACAATTGCATCAAAGAGAATGAAGTACTTAATTTAACAAAAGAAGTCCAAGACTTATACACTGAAAACTATAAAACATTTTGGAAAAAATTTGAAGATGATCTAAATAAATGGAGAAACATCCCATGTTCACGGATTGGAAGATTTCATGTTGTTAAGATAGTGATACTCCTCAAATTGGTCTACAGATCTAGCACAATTTCTATCAAAATTCTGACTGACTTTTTTTTGTAGAAATTGACAAGCTGATCCTCAAGTTCATGTGGAATTGCAAGAGGCCCCCAAATAGCCAAACCAATCTTGAAAAGAACAAAATTGGAGGACTCACACGTCTTGATTTCAAACTTACTACAAAGCTTCAGTAATCAAACACTCTGGTACTGGCATAAGGATAGACGTATGTATCAATGGAATAGAACTGAGATGAAAACAACAACAAACCATAGGTCTGTAGTCAATGGATCTTCAACAAGTGTGCCAAGACCATTCAATGGGAAAAGGATAGTCTTTTCAATAAATGGTGCTGGGACAACTAGACAGTCATATGCAGAAGAAGGAAATTGAACCCTGTAATAGGCAGAATGAGGGGCCCCCCAAAAAGGTGTCCATACCCTCGTTTCCAAAACCTGTGAATATTTTAGGTTACTTGGCAAGGGGGAATTAAGGTTGCAGGTGGAATTAGGTTGCTAATCAGCTGTCCTTAAAAGAGTTTCCTGGGTGAGCCCAATGTAATCACAAGGGTCACTAAAAATGGAAGGAGGAGGCAGAAGAAGAACCAGAGAAATCATGCCATGAAAAAGACTCAGCCCACTGTTGCTGGCTTTGAAGAGGGAGGAAGAGGCTGTGAGCCAAGGAATGTGAGCAGTATCTAAATGCTGGAAAAGGCAAGGAAATGGATTCTCTAAGAAGCTCTGGAAGGAATGCAGTCCTGCCAAACCTTGATTTTAGCCAAGTAAGCTCCATTTCTGACTTCTCACCTTCAGATCTGTAAGCTAGTTCGTGTTATTTTAAGCCACTTAGTTTGTGGTGATTTGTTACAGCAGCACTAGAAAACTGATACAGATCCCCACCTCACACCATATACAAAAATTAAAATGGATCGACCTAAACATCGGAGCTAAAACTAAAAAACCCTTAGAAGGAAACAAATGGGTAAATCTTTATGACCTTGGTTTAGGCAATGACACCAAAAGCATGAGCAATAAAGACAAGTAAATAAACGGGACTTCAAGGTGAAAATTTTTGTGTTTCAAAGGGTACCACCAAGAAAGTGAAAAGACAACCCACAGAATGGGAGAACTTTGCAAATCATATACCTCATAAGGGTTTAGTATACAGAATATATTAAGAATGCTGACAGCTCAATAAAAAGACAACCCAGGGAGGGAGAGGGTATAGCTCAGTGGTAGAGCAGGTGCTTAGCAAGCACAAGGCCCTGGGTTCAATCCCCAGTACCTCCATTAAAAATAAATAAATAAATAAATAAATAAATAAACCTAATTACTCCCCCAACACCTGCAATTTTTTTAATTTGTTTAAAAAAAAAGCCAACCAAATTTTAAAAAGGGCAAATGATCTGAATAGATTTTTCCAAAGAAGATATACAAATGGCCAATAAGCACATGAAAAGGAAATGCAAATCAAAAGTACAATGAGGTAAAAATAAATACATAAACATATAAAATGAATTTTTTAAGTTAAAAAAAAACCTACAATGAAGTAACACTTTACACCCACTAAAATGACTATAATTAAAAAGAAAATAAGAGGTGCTGACGAGGATGTGGGAAATTGGAACTTACATACTACTGCTGGTGTGAATATAAAATGGTGCAATCACTTTGGAAAACAGTCTGGTAGTTCCTCAAAAGATTAAACATAGAGCTACTGTGTGACCTAGCATTTCCACACCTAAGATTATGCCTAAGAGAATTAAGGATGGACATACACAAAACCTTTTACATAAATGTTTAGGGGAGTGGGGTATAGCTCAGTGTAGTGTGAGTGCTTAGCATGCACAAGGTCCTGGGTTCAATCCCCAGTACCTCCATTAAAAATAAGTAAATAAACCTAATTACATGAATGTTCACAGCAGCATTACTCATTCCAAAATTGGAAGTAACTCAATGCCCATCAACTGGTGAATGGTTAAACAAAATGTAGTCTATCCATACAATGGAATACTATTTGGCCATAAAAAGGAATGAACTACAACCTGGATGAATCTTAAAAACATGTGAGTGAAAGAAACCAGACACCCAAAGGTCACGTATTATGATTCCACTTCTAGCAAATGTCTACAACAGGTACATCTGTAGAGACAGAAGGTAGTTGCTAGAGACTAGGGAGCAGGGCATGGGGAGTGATTTCTAATGAACATGAGGTTTCTGTTCTGAACTAGACAGATGGGATGGTTGCACAACCTTGTGGGTATAATGAAAGTCGCTGAATTGCACAACTTTAAAGGGTGAATTTTATGATATATGAATAATAGCTCAATCAAGCAATAAATCAGTTGGAGTTGGCCAGGCACAGGAAGGCAGAACCGTGGTTCGAGCACAAGAGACAGCAGGAGCAAAGCATGGAAGCCAGACAGATTGGAAACGACCATCCATGGTGCAAGGAAAAGAGCCTGCAGGATGGCAGTGCTAGCCAAAGAGCCTGGACACTTCCCCAGAGTGATGGAGACCCTTGAAAGGTGTGGGGCAGGGACCCAGCCTGCAGCCACCTGTTCGTGGGAAGCTCTTGTAGCTCCACCTCTCCCTCCTCCATATGCCCTCCTGGGCAGCCGTTTCTCCTGCGTCGTCCATCACAAACCGCTCAGCCCCTGCCTCTCACAGCACACTTGTTGACACCAAGCTGGGGTTTCTCTTCCCCCATCACAAGTACAGACGTCACCTCTGTGTGTATCCTTCCAGGGTCCCTCCAAAACGGAAAGGTTTGGGGCAGAGGACCTTCCGATCCCAGCTTTCTTCCTGATTTACCGAGGGTCCCTGGGGCAAGTCACAGAGCTTTTTATTAGGCATAAAAAATACAGAGCTCTCAAGTCACAAGACAGCACAGAGGACCCTCAAATGCATCTTGCTCAGTGAAAGCAGCCCATCTGATTCTTTGTGACACTGTTAACAGTGGATGTATGTCTTACGCATTTGTTGAAACCCACAGAATGTACAACACAGAGTGAATCCTAATGTAAACTGTGGGCTTGTGTTAATAATGTTTCAAAATTAGCTCAAGTATAAAAAAAGTCACACACTAATGCCAGATGTTAATTATAGGGGAAATAGTGGTGCAGGGGTGCAAGGGTATATGGAAAATCTCTGTACTTTCTGCTTACTTGTCTGTAAACCTAAAACTAGCCCTAATAAAATGTTAATTCATTTTAAAAAGCAAAACAGAGCCTGATCCTAAGAGTCATCAGGATGATTTTCTTGCCAATTTGGAGGGAACTTCTTACGCTGCAGCTAGAGTTGCAGGCTTTGCAATGAGAAAGGTCCCCACTGGACCACTTTCTCATCAAGAGCCCCTGACAAAGACTTCATTCCCTTCCTTAAGCCTCAGTTTCTTCATCTGGACAACAGGGACCATAATGACACCTTTGGAGGTGGTTGGGGTATCTAAAGGGATGTTACCCAGAATGCACTTGCTTATCAACACACCACTGATGCTCCATTCCCAGTGGCAACAGATCCTTCTCTCATCCTCACTGGGCTTCTCAAAGGCTATACCTTGCATCCCTCTCTTGCACTGTGGACATTCAAGGACCAGCCCCATCCATCAGTGATCCATCTTTGAGCTGGCCAAAGGTTGCCCCCTGGGTACCCCCACCCAGCAAATACTCCATCATCTTAAGACTTTCTTCCTCAGTCTCTGAAGTGGAGACAAGATGAGAAAGACATTGTAATTCTGGAGGGGGGACAGCAGAATTTGAGGGCTGAGAGTATACACTCTGGAGCTCAACGTCCCAGGTTTAAAATCCAGCTAAGATGGCGATACTCGCAGGCCCAGTGGGCTCTCACCCAGAGCTATGGCCAAACCTGCTGGCCCTGCACACTGAGCGGCACCCTTCCTGGGGCAGCCAGATATACCAGGACACACCCTCTGTCCTGGGCCACCCTGTGCACCTGACCGAACCCACAGGCAGATCGGCCGGCAGTCTCCTGGGACCACTGAGGCTAGCACAGGGCAATGTGAGGCCCCAGAGACTGCAGGGAGGTGGTGAAACACCAACCATGTGCCCCCTGTCCCCAGACCCACAGGGCCTCGCTGGTGGGAGAACAGGCCACAGAAACTATTTTAAAAACTAAAATATAAAAAAAAGGACAAGCGTGTTTTGCTCATGTCTGGCCACTGTGTGTTCCCCGGTGAGGGTTCTGCCTTCTAAAGCCCAGAAAGGGCTCTATGCCACATGGGGACAAATGGTGTGTGACTGAGCCCCCACCAGGCACCAGATACTCTGAAGGTTTATTTCTTAAACTTAACTAGGAAACAATACCTTGGTGCTTGGAAAGGCCCATGTGAAACAGCACGGGGTCACTTGCTACTGGCCTTGCTGTTCTAAGGGCCGGACGGTGCTGCTAGAGGGAGAGACAGAGGGACAGTCTGGGTTGCTGGCATCAACAGTGGGTGTCTGGGAAGAGACACCACCAAAGCCAATGGCGATGTTTGAGTTGTCCTCGCAGCATTGTCTCAGGATGTCACCAACACAGGGTCCAAGCTGTCACTAGCAAGACCAGCAGACATTCAACAGGCTGGAACTCCTCAGGCCCAAGAGGCTATCTCAGATGCCACCCCTGACTGGAGACATCCCCCAACCCTGCTGATGCCACTCCCAGCAGCAGCCACACCCAGCAGTGCCCCAAGAGGCCTCCGCCGGGGTGAGCATCTGAGCAGTGGGCCAAGCAACCACCCAGAGCCATCTTCAGGGCCCCTCCGGCAGGAGCTCTATGGAGATAGCCTGAATAGGGATATCTGGGTAGGAGTTTCTGTTCTGGAAGTCAGTTCTGGAAGTTTCTGGGGCATCAGGCAAGGCAGGCAAGGCAAGGGAGACCCACCAGGGACAGGCAGTGCAAAAGGCAATTGGCCCGGCCTGGGGGGAGATTTCCTGCTGACCTAGAGGTCCCTTGCTGAGGGCCCCCTACCGCCGGGTTGGCCAGACAGACCGCCTCCCAGCTCCTTAGTTCAGCAAGGAGGTGCAGGGCCTGTCTGGAGTTCACACAGGGCTACAACGTCCTGGAATCCAGCTGCCTAGGGAGGCCTAGACTGGGTGGGGCTCATTAAGGCACAGCTGAGACAAGGTGGAGAGGCCCCACTGCATAGGAAATGTCTGTTCTGCTTTTGGCAGGAAAGGGCAGGGGAGAAGAGAGGAGGAGAAATGGAGGAGAAAGGGGAGGATAGTCAGGGACAGCGGGGAAGCCAGGAAGCAGGGAGAAGAGATACACACACAGACACAGGAGCCTGATGAAAGGCAGGTGGGGCCCCGGGAAGGGGAGAGGAGGGTGAAGGCGGGGGACACAAGTTCCTCCTTGGATCTAGATTCTCTGCCCCAGGACAGGGCAGGGCTGTCTGGCTCAAGCCAGCCTCCCTTGCTGGGCCTGGCATGGAGTCTCTGGCGGGCAGAGGAGGAACGTCAGAGGGCGAAGGCGCCTGAGCAGATGCGGGTGTAGACACCCTGATCCAGAGGCAGGTAGTGACCCTGCTTTAGGTCCAGGAAGAAGAGCCGGTCTGAGGTCTGGCGTGGGTCGAAGCCCTCTCGCTGCAGCCGCGTCTTCTGAATCTTGAAGGTGCCTGTTGGGGTAGGGGTAGGGGTAGGGTGGGGACTTGGCAGGGGGTTTCCAGGCGCTCCCCTCAACTCATCATCCTCTCCACCTTTAGGCCTCTGATCAGCCATACCCTCCACCAGGAAGCTTCTTCCCCATTTTGTCTGCCTGACTTCCCCTTGTTCTTCGGAGCTCATCTTCTGCCCCCTCCTCTGGGGAGGCCTCCCTGACCACCCTCATCATGGCCTGAAACTCTTGTGTACACTCTGCCTGGTCACGTGTCCACCCCCCAAAAGACCAAGAAGGTGGCAGGGCTGGGTCTGTCACACAGTAGTTCAGGAGTCAGCAACTTATAGGTCTGTGTCCCGGCCCAGGGGCCAAATCCCGCCCACTATCGGAAGCCCCGCCCCTTCAGGTACACACTGTTTACTGCTGTTTTTGCATCACAGCTGCAGAACTGAATTATTGCTGCAGAGGCTGTGTCCTCGAAAAACGGAAAACATTTATTCTCTGGTTCTTTAAGAAAAAAGTATGCACTTCCTGCCCTGGACAATTAAAGCAGGGTTTTGTGAAAGACAGGCTAAGAGTTAGGGTTAGTAGAAAAAACAAAAAAAAGAAATGAAGGGAGAAATACCTGTATACTCTAGAGTTGGGAAGGTTTAAAACAAATACAACTTCAAAAGCACAAACGATAAGATTAAAAAAGGGAAGGGGGTTAAGTTTGTATTAAAAGTAGGGATTTAGGGGAGTGTACAGCTCAGTGGTAGAGCGTATGCTTAACATGCACAAGGTCCTGGGCTCAATCCCCAGTAGCTCCACCCAAAATAAGTAAATAAACCTAATTACCTCCTCACTAAAAATAAATAAATAAATAAAGGTTAAAAAATTGTTAAAAAAAATTTTTTAAAGTAGGGGCTTCTTTTTCAACAAAGGGCACCGTGGACCAAGTTAATAGCTGGACTCCAAAATAGATGAGATTTAGAAGGGGGTATAGTATGACTGAATGATGGAGTGTGTGCTTAGCATGCACAAGGCACGAGGTCCTGAGTTCAATCCCCAGCACCTCCATTAAAACCAACCAACCAACCAACCTAATTACCTCCTCACCAAAAAAACAGATGAGATTTAGAATGTCAGCAACTGCTAAGGAATGAACATCTAGACTCTTACGGGGAACTCCCGTAAATCACAAAGAAAGAGTGAGGCAAGACAAAGATGAGTGAAATATATGAGCAGGTGATTTACAGAAGAGGAAACCTCAGAGCTATGAGATGATTTGCTCAAATTTCCTACTCATCAGAAAAAGGCAGAAAATGAAGAAATGCACCAAACATTGTAGAATGCCCAGTGGGAGTAGGAGTGAGGGGTGGAAAGAGATAAGTACGTAAATGAAACAAGAGAAGGGCCCCGTCTGAGCCCACAGGGCTGGCTGGCCGAGAACCGTTATGTCAGACTGGGCACAGGGGCTGAACCAGGACAAACAAGTAAATAGTTGAGGAATCCACAGACATACGGGAGGACAGAGAGGCAGGGGGCCGCACCTGTGGTGTCCACCTGGGGCAGGAGGCGCAGGAAGATCGGCCTGGCGTAGGGGGCCAGCACTTTCTGCAGCTCCTGGTACAGCGCATTGGGGCACAGCTGGCCGTGGGGATCTGCGATGGCCGCCATGCCTGCTTTGCCCTCTACTCCTAGAGACAGAGGTCAGGCTGAGAACACCACCTGTCACTGGGACCAGATACACCCTCCAGTGGTGGTCCCTGGCCTCCTGTCTCCAGTCCCTTCCACCTGGACTAATGCTCGCCAAAGCAGTGAACATTTTGTTGAGCTCCTGCGGCACTCCCTGCAGCCCTGAGCCACAGCGGATTTCGTGATCCCATTTTCTGGATGAGAAAACCAAGGCCCAACATCAGACATAAGGAGTAATTCCAGATTTTAGCTCCCACCCAGGCTGCCATATGCAGTTGCCCAGGTTGTGCACTGCCTTAGGTCCTGCCTACAAGGGCACCTGTACCTCCAAGCTCTTCCTGGTTGGGCTCCTCTGGGGCTGCCGTACCCTTGGACCACCCCACAGCCCTGGCTTGCCTGGCACAGCCACCCCATACACGGCCACATCTGTCTGGCCCAGCAGACGACTCAGCACGCCTTCCACCTCAGTGGTAGAGACATTCTCCCCACGCCAGCGGAAGGTGTCCCCGCTGCGGTCCCGGAAGTACATGTAGCCCAGTTCATCCATCACCAACACGTCACCTGGCAGAGAGGAAGGGGTAAGGTAAGAATGGCGACTAGCCGTCCCCATAGCCAGCCCCCAGGGTCGGGTCTGCACACCTGAGAGGTAGGCACTGTCACCCTTGTGGAAAACGCTGTGGGCGATCTTCTTGTTGGTGGCGCTCTCGCTGATGTAGCCATCAAAGCGACGCAGCGGGTCCTGCTGGTTGATCTGGCCCACAAGGAGGCCGGGCTCCCCTGGGGAGGAGGCAGCACTCAGGCTGCGCTGGGCAGGCAGAAGGTGGGGGCCCCAGCTCCCCAGGGGACTGGGTGGGACCCCGCTCACCGGTCTGGCATGGGATGCAGAGACCCTGGGCATCCCGCAGTAGTTCCATGGTGTCCTCATTGACCTTCACCAGCCGGATGGGGTACACATGGGGCAGGATGCGGCTGTTGAAGCCACAGGAGCCAACCTGGGATGGGGCAAACCCAGTCAGCAAGGAGATCCGGGGTGACACACTGTCCTTGCCCCAGATACCTTGCCTCTCCTGCCCCAGGGCCTGGAATTAGCACTAGTGACCCCTAGTGTCACCCCAACTCTGTCACCCTGGCCGATCTGAAAGAGGAGAGTATTATGTGCAGCATCCTCCCAGAACTCACGCCCCTTTCGCACTTTTCCAGCCTCCCTTGCGGTTGTGTGAAGAGACTTGCTGGCAGGCTGCCACTTCCTGGTCCTTAAAACTCTCCATGCTGGCAGGAAGTAGCCACCTTGGGGGACACTGGCAGAGCTTCTGCCTGCTGCCCACTGCATGTCACTTTGTCTGGCTCAGTTCTACGGGCAGAAATGCCTGTCTAATGAATTTGTGCTGCTGAAAGCGGCTGGGTATGTTTGTTACAGCAGCGGCCTGTGCTAGCACAGCTGGAGTGTCCTCCTGGGCTCTTCATTCAACAGATGTGCATGGTGGGGTCTGTGCCTTTTTCTCAGGTGCTGGGTACCCAGCAGGGAGAGACAGAAAAGAATCCTTGCCCCAAGGGCGCTTGCTTTATTCTGCTTCTCATTTTCTGTTCCTGGCTGTGAGTGGGAAGGACTTGATTAGGGAGCAGGAGGGTCCTGCAAGGGCAGAATGGAAATAATCATTGCTAATCATAAAAACATCTGTTTGCAGAGAACCTGCCGCATAGGGGAGGGGTGCTGTGCTGAGCTTATAATGTTGGGTGATTAGAACAAACTTAATGAGCTGGTATTCCCATTTACTGATAAGGAAACCAAGACCCAAGGAGCCTGAGTGACTTGCCTAGTAGGAGATCAGCACCCCATTCCTGGCCCTGGATCCCCCCAGGCCCCTGCTCTCCCCTGCCACCTCCACTGCTAAAAACTGAGCTTCACAAAGGCTGAGGCACTTGCCCAGAGCACACAGCCACTCTGTGAACTTGAACTCAGGAGTGACAGTCGTGTGACTGTGCATGCCCAGAGGAAGGTCCCCTGGCCAAGCTTCTGCCACAATCCAGGCTGTTCTGTGGGAACATAGGCCAATAAGGCAGAGGTGGCAGCAATCCCTGAACCCTGAGACCTGCCTGGGTGGCCCTGCATGCACCCACCTTCCCGTCCACATTGGCGATGCTGCAGTTACATTCCGTGGCCCCATAGAACTCGCCAATCTGGCGCACGCCGAAGCGCTCCGTAAACTCCTCCCAGATGGCTGGCCGCAGTCCGTTGCCCACCGCCAGACGCACATGGTGCCGCCCTTCTGCCTCACGCACTGGCTGCTTCAGCAGGTAGCGGCAGATCTCCCCAATGTACTGGACCACCTAGGGGGTGGGGAGTGAGCGGTGGGCGCCTGCGCTGGGCCAGAGGGGAACCTGCTTGTGGTGGAGGCTGCAGAGGGCCCAAGACTCCCAGACCCAGAAACCTCCCCCACTCCAACCTGGCCGCTAGGACCAAAACGGCCTTAAGGGTGAGGATAGCAAGGGAACAGCCCAGGCCATTTACACCTATCCACTCCCTCAGTCCCTGATGCGCCTTCTGAGTGGATGTGTCGCTCCCCCAGGCCCCTCCAAGGTCCCTCTATCCCCTGTGCTACTTCCTGGGAATACCACGTGTGGCGCAGGCAGGCAGGAAAGTGAGCCTCCGTGTTGGCACTCCACAGCCCAGAGCCGTTACTGTCCTCCAGCGCCCCAACCATCTCAGATCAGGCTGCCCACAGCCTCGACCGACCCTGGGGTGGGACCACTCTCAAGCACATGCTCTTCACTGCCTCTCTGAAGTCACAGCGAGGACCCGAGCCCCAGTTGCCCATGGAGTCACCTGCTCACTGGCCGACCCCCCTAAGGAGTTCCTTCCCTCCCTGTCTTGTGGCTTCACCCCCCAGGATCATCTCCTGGTTACCCCAAGTGCCCTTGAGACTTCATTTCCAGGTCAGCTTCTGAATGATTATCCTCCCCATTTCATAGATGGAGAAACTGAGGCTCACAGACAGTAAGTAACCACCAAGGCTGATAACATGGTAAAATGTGATTTGAATCTGGGCCCCCTGGCTCCAAAGTCTGTAAGAAATGTTACATGTTCAGAATTAACCACCATGGCAATCATTACTCACAACTCCTCTCTCACACACAAAATGAAGTACAAAATTCTGCCTGTGATCAACTCTATCTGGCCCCACTGCCCTCACCGCCTCCTCTCCCTTCGACTCTCACTCGTCTCTGCCACATAGGTCTCCTCTGCAGAGCCTTTGCGCATACTGTGCCCTCTGCCTAGAGCACTCTCCCTTCAGATGCATCAGGGTCCTCAGGTCTCACATCAAAGGTCACCACGGCTGAGAGGTATCCCTTGACCAGGACTTGATAAATACCTGATGACTATAAGTGTACTAAGCACTCAATACCCACCAAGCCTGGAGCTTGTCTGTTTAATCTTCCTGACACTCCACACACTCTACCACTGAGCTATACCCTCCTCCCCCCATCTTAGCCATCTTTAGTGTACAGTTCAGTGGTATTAAATACATTCACATTGTTGAGCAGCCATCACCACCATCCATCCCCACAACTCTTTTCACCTTATAAATCTGAAACTCTCTACCCAACAAACACTAACTCTCCATTCTCCCCTCCCCTGACCCCTGGCAACCACCAGCCTACTTTCTATCTATGATTTTGGCTACTGTAAGTACCTAAGATAAGTAGAATCATGCTGTATTTGCCTTTTTTGATTGGCTTATTTCATTTAACTAATATCCTCAATGTTCATCCATGTTGTAACAGGTGTCAGAATTTCCTTCCTTTTCAAGGCTGAATGGTATTCCATTGTCTGGATGGACCACATTTTGCTTATCCATTCATCTGTCGATGGACATGTGGATGTACAAATATCTCTTTGAGACCCTGCTTTTAGATATTTTGTTTTAAAAACACCCTCATCAAACACAGAAGGCCACACAGAGATCCCATTTATAAGAAACGTACAGAATAGGCAAATCCATAGAGACAGAAAGCAGATTTATCCAGAGAAGCCAGATGCTGGGGGAGGGTGAATGAGGAGTGACTGCCAATGGGGACAGGGTTTCCTTTTGGGGTGATGGAATGTTCTGGAACTAGACACAGGTGCTGGCTGCACAACGCTGTGAATGTACTAAATGCCACTGAACTGTCCACTTTGAAATGGCTAATCTTATGTGAATTTCACCTCAATACAAAAACACTCCTCATCTTTCAGAAGTTTTACTGAAACATCTATGCAGGAAACAGACTGCTGTCTGGGGTTGCTTCACAACAACCCAGGAGGAGGGATGTGGGTGGGGCTGGAGGGGGCAGAACTGGGTATTTGACGGCCTCTGGGGCCAAGTGATGGGTACCTGGGAATTCCCTAAACTTTTCTGTCCACATTTATGTATACTTGCAACTCTCAATAGTTAAGTTAATAAAATGGACAGTTTTATACTTCAAGATTCAGATTAGTAAATTTCCCTAAGACTCTTCCCCTGCCGCCCCCACAAGCAGAAGGGAAAATCCTCAACAGCAGAGCTGGGCATAGTCATCACCCTGGGGGTCCTCCAGGATGACCAGCCCAGAGCCTCCATCCTGCCCAGCTGTGTGTGATCCAGGCAAGTGGCTGAACCTCTCTGAGCCCCACCTGTTCAAGTGGGGTCAGCACCTGCCATTTGCCAGTCCCTGGACACACCCCCTTCTCTCCCCTCCTCACCCCTTCTTCCTCCTGGAGGAAGGTACTGACACTTGTATTTCCACCCTCATCACAGCACAGAACCCCCGGGACTGGTTTCTTCTCATTGCAGAGGGAAGAGGGAATTGTCTTACCCCTCTCCCCCAAGGCTGCTCTAAAGACAGCAGATGCCCTCCACCTCTGCCTCGTGCTCACCCCGCCTGGAAGCCCTGGGCTTTGCGGCCTTAATCAGCCCAGGACAGTGACTGTACCCATTCCCCTATGGCCAGCAGCAGGGAAGACCTTTGCGGCACAGGGCATGGGGAAAGCAGTGCCTTTAGGAGCTCAGGCAGTCCAGTCTGCATCCAGTCCCAGCTGCCTTAGAAGCCTCAGTTTCCCCACCTGCAAAATGAGTGTGATGATGCTTGCAGTTATGAGGATCCAATGAGTTTATATGTTGAAGGTTTAGCCTCGGGCTGGACATAGAGCACGAAGCCTGACTTCCCCCCGCCGCTCCCCCCAGCTCCTACGTCCCTCAAAGGCAGCCATTTAGCACCATGATGGTGGAGGCAGGTGCGAGCGGGGGCGGGGCCTGACCGTGCAGTTGTACTTGACGCAGTCATCCCAGAAGCGGCTGGCTGAAAACTTCTTGCGGAGGACCACAGTTAGCCCATAGATGAGACACTGACCCACGCCCATTATGTTCCCTGCAGAGAGTAGACTCGGTGAGGGGTCCCCAGTACCCAGTCCCCCGCCCACTCCACCACCCAAGGTGCCCCACAGTACCTGCCGAGTGGTACAGGGGCAGACAGTCGTAGAGGACGTCTGACGCCTGCATGCTGTAGGCGTGGTGGCCAAATGCCGCGATGCGGTAGTACCTGCAGGGTGCAGGGAGTGCAGGGGCTGGGACCCACCTCCCGGAAAAAGCACGGGAGTAGGGGGAGTGTGCTGGGTGCTGGGGATACTGCAGGGACCCAGGCAGAGCCAGCCCAGGTCACAGGGGCCTTACAGAACCGTGGAAAAAGAACATGCAACAAATATGAAAATAACTGTCCATGGTTCTAGGTGCCATGAGCAATAAAATAGGGCAAAGGGACAGAGAGAGGCTGAAGGGGACCCAGCCAGGGAGGTTGAAGTGTCCTGTCTGGGGAGGTGACACATGAGCTGAGACCTGGCAGGAGGCAACTGTGGGGAGAGCTAGGGAAGGGACCCGGATGGAGGGCAGAGCACATGCAAAGGCCTTGAGGCCAGAAGGAGCTGGGTAGGTTTGAGCGAGTGTGAGGGACCGAGAAGTGAGTGAGCATCAGAGAAGTAGCAGTTGCCGCACAATGTGATTGTGGCTTTTAGTCTGAGGGCCAAGGTGGGGACAGGGAGGCTTGGCACCAGAGGTCTGATTTAAGATTTTAAACCCTCTTATGCCAGTGGAGGAAAGGAGTGTTGTTGGGGGCAGGAGCTGGGGCAGGAGGAGGTCAAGGAGAGGCAGAGGGCAGCATTGTGTCTTGTGATGGGCTGTGGGTTTTGGCGGGTTGGGATGAAGATGCCCACGAGACCCCAACAGGAGCTCCAACAGGAGCTGGGGTTGGGGGGATCCGGCTGTAGAGACAACCTGGAGTCACTCAGCGCTGAGGGCGATGCACACGGGCCCCTCACCTGCTGTGCACAACGATGGCAGCCTTGGGCAGCCCCGTGGTCCCCGACGTGTAGATGTAGAAGAGTCGATCTGAGAGAGACGCAGGTGTTGGGGACTAGAGGCTGGGGTGGGTGGGAGGGACAAGGGGACAGGGTGGGCATCGGCAGGGGGATCCCACCTGCACTCACCATCCATGCCCTTGCCAGGGGGCTGTGCCAGGGGGCCTGTGGAGGCCTCTTTCAACAGTGGGTCCAGAAGCTGGGTGTCCGGCAACATGCCCTCAGGCCCCAAGTCTCCAGAACAGAATTTGACCAGACTCTTGCCCAGCTGTCCGCTCACCTCGGCCACCGCTGCGGCCCGAAATATACGTCACGGTCAAGGATGGACAGGCCCCCTCCCAAGGCCCTAGAGGCACCATCTCCCCAACCAGGGCAGCCCCATATCCCCCCTACCCCCGAAATGATGCCCACACCCAGCCTCACCTGCTGCCAGCTCCACTCCGAAGACCAGGGCCTTGGCGCCTGAGGTGCCCAGACAGAAGGCCAGGGGCTCCCGCCGCAGGTTAACATTGAGCAGCGCGGCCTCCACACCCGCCTTGGCCAGGCCCAGCCACAGCCCCACGAACTCTGGCCGGCCCTCCAGGAAGAGAGCCACCACGTCACCTGGTGTGAAGCCCAGCTGGCAGAAGAGGTTGGCCACAGCGTTAGAGTAGGTATCCAGCTGTGCAAATGTCCAGCACGTACCGCTGCCCGCATCCACCAGCGCCAGGCGCTCGGGCTGCTGCCGGGCCACCGCCTGGAAGATTTGCGGGATGGTGTGGTGGGCACGCTGGTGTCGCCGCAGCTCCAGGCGCACACGGATCAGCACGGAGAGGCCACTGGGGGGTGGGGACGAAGGGACAGTGTTACTAGGTGCCCTGCCCAGCCTCCAGGAGACCTCCCCAAACCTCAGCATCCCCATGAGGAGAAAGCAGAATTAAAAGTCCCTGTACCCCCAAAGTTGGTGAGGATTCAGTGAGGACCCTCGGGTTGCTGGCTCTCTCGGAGAACTGAGGGCAAAGAACCATTTACGAACCAGCCCAGAAGTAGGTAGATTCGCAAAACTGGCCAGGCCACGCAGTGTCAATCAGAGTCACCCTGTCCTCCTCACCACAATTTGTTCGGTGACCCTGAGGGAGCTGGGGCCCAGTCTTTCCTTTCTCCCTCCTGGGACGTCCTAAGGGCACCATGCTGCCCCCTCACTGCCTCCAGCGTGGACTCTTTGTGCTCCGCCTGCCCCCACCAGGCCCTGGGGTCCATCCACTCCCAGGTCACTTAATGGCACTAGGCACGGAGGGCTGAGCCATCTAGCACATTTGCCTCCACCCAGGGGAGGAGCTGCCTCTGCCCCAGGTGGGGCCCAAAGACGGACTAGCAAGAGGCCCTGCTCCCCTAGCCCTTCTTGCTAATAGATA